ACAGTTTGTAAATCAGAGGCCTTTTCCCACCCCTGGAGGCTCCGTGACCTCCCTGCTGCACATCCTGTTAACCAGCATGGGATAAACAAAGCCCAAAGCCTCCTGCCAAGTTCCCCCAATTCCAGCGAGCCCTTTTTAAACCAACACGACGAGAGGGCTTCTCCAGTTTAAACTTGTGTCCCTGTGCGCTACATTTGTTACATGGGTCATAATTGGTGCAGAACCAAAGGTAAACTTTGTCAGACCGCTTAAGTACTGTCTTGATGTGCAATTTTGAGGTACTTAATGAGTATTTCTAATTTATGATTATTTTAATTTACTACATTTTATGTGATAGCTATTATATATAGTGTTAAACACAGATTAAACCCATTTCATCATGCATCAGTATTAATACTTCAGTTATATAACATCATGGTATCAAATATGCAAAAGGGACAATTTTCTGCATAATGAGTACTTTGACCATTTTTTGTTTTTTGATAATAATTCTGTACTTATGAAAGGACTTTAAAAAGTATATTTATAAATATGCACTGCTCAAAGTATAGCACCAAGATAGTTAAACTTCAGGGATATCAATCTGTCCATTTAGGAAGCACAAGTGATTGTGAATCAATTTCACATGTGGTGCAAATTAAAGGTCATCAACCCAGCAGCAGGACCAAGGAGGAACAGGAAGCGCACTGCCAGAGCCCGACAAAATGACCTCCAGCAGGCTACTGGTGTGCATGTTTCTGAACAAACTGTCAGAAACAGACTCCATGAAGGAGGCTTGAGGGCCCAACATCCTCTAGTGGGATCTGTGCTCACAGCCCAGCACTGTGCTGCTCGATTGGCATTTGCCAGAGAACACCAGAATTGGTAGGTCTGCCATTGGCGCCTCATTCTCTTCGCAGATGAGAGCAGGTTCACACTGAGCACATGTAACAGATGTGAAAGAGTCTGAAGAAGCTGTGGTGAATGTTATGCTGCCTGTAACGTCTTTCAGCATGACCAGTTTGCCGGTTTGTCCGTGGAGGTTCGCCCAGACTTGCATGTCATAACCAATGGTTCCCTGACTGCTGTTAGGTACCGGGATGAAATCCTCAGAGCGATTGTCAGACCTTACGCTGGTGCAGTGGGCCCTGGGTTCCTCCTGGTGCAGGACAATGGCCAGCCTTATGTGGCTGGAGTGTGTTGGCAGCTCCTGGATGACTAAAGCGTTGATGCCATAGGCCATACACACTACTGAGTCACATTATGAGTTACCGTGTTGAAATTTGATTTTCGGTGAGGTTTTGAATCCAGCCCTCAATTGTTTGATGATTTTAGTTTCATTGTACATCAGTACAAGATTTTCAACTTGAATAATCCATTCATCAAGATCAGATTTTTTTCAGCAGTGTATATTATATTTATATAATATATATTTGTAGCTCATTATATCTGTATAGTCATATAGTTGGCCATATATATAGTCGAGCAGCAGTTATGAAGATTCTGTTTCAAGCTTCTTAGTCAATGTAAGTTATTAATTCCCTCCTCTTTTAGCTCAAATTTTTTCTCCACAAACACTTGAGGGCTCTTTAACCACTAAATGCTCTATTATGTTCACTAGCTAGTCGCTACCTGCATTTGTCTGTTGTTTTGTGTACAGTGGATTGGTTTTGTTAAATTCAGCCCTGTGCAGAAATATGTGACTCAAAACAAAGTCAGAAACTTAAAACAACAAACTGAAAGATGCTAAAAAGTTCAGAGCAGTTTGATGAGAATTATCATTGCAAGCAAACTTTGTAGTATTACTTGTCATTATTTCCGCCTTTATAGCTGCTTTGAGTAAAAGATCCAAATGCTACTCCACCATTGTTGTAATTTAAAGCTGATAGGAAACACAGAACCCATTCAAGAGCAGCTCAACTCCTGATGAAGCAACACGTTGACGACTACTTTCCCCAGCTTTCACCACTTTCGTCACTGAGAGAAGCCAAATGAACTTAAAGGTATCCTGACAGAAAACATTTAAAATCTGAACTATTTTCAGTCTCATTGTAGGTATTAGTATGATGTTGAAATTTAGAAAGCAGATTTTCAAAAAGGGTTTAAGAACATTGTTTAAAGGATTTAAACATGGACTCTGGTTAGCTGCTTTGTGAAGGGCTGTTCAGGTGCCATCAAGTGTCATCATCTTCAGTGAACTCTGGGGCAACATCATAATTTGTCTTATATTGTTGGATTGAATGAAAGTGGAGACACAACAAATTTAGTCTAATTTTGGAAAGTAGCAAACGTTTCACACCAACACAGTTCCCAGATACATGTCTGTAAATACTGCCTACAGACAGACAAACAGACAGACAAGTCCACTGCTGCTGTTTTCTCCAAGCTGAGTTAGACCTTGGTGGCATGCACACAAACAGGGAGTGGCCTTGGGATAAAGAGGGAGGGAGACGGGAGGAGGGGAAATGGAGAGATGGTAAACACACCCGTAAGGTCTGGATGTGTGTGCGAAGTAGAGAAATGGAGAGGGGTGGAATGATGATAATGATAGGGAGGTGCAGGGGGTAAGATGATAGCAAGTTGTTTTGAAGCACAAGGTTGTTGTTGACTGGGAATCCTGTTGAATAACATACTAGAAATCCCCACCCTCTTTTATATTCTCTTTCTATTTTACTGTACTTTAGGTCAGGGTGAGGATAAACCGCTGCAGGTTGTTAATCGTTCTCGGTTTGTGATTGACGGTCAGATTCAGGCTGAGGGAGATGTTTTCTAATTTGCTTCAGGATGCAGTATGATGACCACAGAGTGCTGGGCAGCCTTTTCATTTTTAAATGCTCACATGTGGCTCTGGAGGTACAGTGCTGGCTCCATGAACCAGATTGTATGCACTTGTTTTCTGCAAGATAGATCAGCCAGACGTTTAACCTGAAAAACAATTTTCCTTTCCTTGCTGGGTGTCAAGTGCCAGCGTGCAGCTCCACTTGGCTGCCAGGATTGAATTTGTGTCTCTGTCTGTTGAGCTTCATGTTACTGTTCGATGACTCTTTGGTTGAAATTGCAGCTAAGTTCATAAGCTGCAGCTGCTGATCCTGGTTGCTGAGTTATATGTAATATGTATACATGTATGTATTATGGTAAATAATCTGGACTGTGAGAGGAACTTGGCTTCACCTGAGTTGCTTTTGGCAGAGATATGCATAAATGGTAATAGTGCCAAATGAAAGAAAAACACATTCCATTACTGCAAAGCAATCATCCTGTAGCTCCTCTAAGAAGCACTTTCAAATCATCGTGTCTTATATGGTAAAAACAGTTTTTGCTTGCATTTTCATGAGAGAGAGAAGGTGGTAACAGTACATGGGCCATGATTTACGAGGTAAATAAGGGTCAGTATTTTCCACAGCTTGATGAACTAACTAAAAATGAAGCCTCTAGGTCTAGTTAAAATGTGCTTGATTTAATTGTTTTATGTTTGATCAACTGATTTAATATTAATGTAAGGAAATGGTGCTAAACAAATATATCAAATATCTGGGCAGTGTGCTACAGCTGACAGACATCAATTTTCTCATTGTGTATTGATTTTACAGCAAAAATAAATTCCCCTCACCTCACAAGTATATCAGTTCAAAGTCTGGCGCCAAGTAGGTCAAAGTAAAAAATGTAAAATCATTAAACCTACAGTAAACATATGTGCAGCAGGCCCAGCGCCTCCAACTGACCTACTTTACTCTGAGGTCCTTCATGAGCCTCAAGCTGGAATTCATCCAAATATCTTCATGGACGCCTATCCATTTTAAATATACACACAGATCAGCCACAACATGGAGGCATGTGTCAAATCAGTGTGTTTGTTGGGGGTGATCTATAATTGTGCATTGATGAACAAATGCTCCTGGAGTGATATTTCATATTCTAGACCTTTTACATAAAGTTATTTGGGTCACATATTTACCCAGAGAGCATTTATGCAAAAGTAGAATGGGTTTTTTGATCCCCAGCATTCAAACAAACCAATGCTAAACCAGGATCAGAGGCAACCATGCATATTAAAAGTAGAATTAGGAGACTGGCTTACATAAAGACACAATCACACAATGTTCTCAAACTTATTATCCTCAACAAATATGAAACATATTTTAATTGTGTTATGTTCTTAAGGACAAACTTATTGTACCATATAGTTTGTTTTATATCATTATGGCCCAGAGCCAAAGTTTTGTGTAAAAATACTTTCCTCGTCAGAGTTTAAGAGGGGATAAGGAGTTGTGAAGAGGTTTGTATGTTGTTTCTACAAATCATTCATATAATTTTTCGAAACTGTTAAGTGAGGTCTGGACAGAAAACAGTATTTCTAAAAACTTTAGAGTGGCGCTGCCCTCTGCTGGACAGAATGTAGACTGCGCAGCTTGAATCCAGTAATGTCATTTTCTTTAGATATATTCCACCACCATAAACTGTAAATTGTGTTTGTGGAAATAGAATTATGACAATGACATCAAGTAATTTAACTTGAACTCAAGACAGTGTGGCAGATTTACCATCAACTTCACCTTTAGTCCTTTAAAATTAATCCACTCTGCCTTCGTTGGACTCATAACCCAAGAGTGTTTATACTGGAGATATGAGAGAAATCTAAACTATAAACAAGACGAAATTAACTCTTTCTTGATTCTTTCAAGGGAGCATAACTTGAATTACTTCATTTTGCAGGCATTTTAGTTTTTCTCACAGCACCATTCTCTGGATTGTTGTTCCACTGTAATGTATGGATTTTAGTAGATCACCTACGAAATTCAATATCAGAACTATGGCATGTTCCAAAACGTCCACCTTGTTTAAGTCTCCAGTTTATTTACACATCTGTGTGCAAGGATATATATGTATACATTGACACCTACAAACAACCAAAAAACTGTCGAGCATCAGACTGTTGCAGCCCTAATAAATGTGTTGACTATTAAAGTAAAGGGGGAAAAGAAAGTTCATTTTCTATTGGAAAAACCACAGGACTGCCACACTTTCATCTTGATAACCAATTTTATTTCAAAACAATCTGAAAGAGTGAGATGTTAGCCATTGCAAGCAAAGCTGATGGCGTCTTCTACTTCACATTGCTGGATTGGCACCTCACGTCTTCGGCAAGCACTGTGAATGAAGACAAGAGTTAAGTCACAACTCATCTCAGAAATATCTAACACAACTAACTGCCTCTAAAAGATTCTGTGTAAACAAGACAATACAAAGAACATGGAAATGTGATCTATTCCAGGGATGAAATCTGATGGAAGTACCAGATTTAATATTGTGACTGAAAAGTGCTGCTCTGTTTAACTCAATCATCCATCTGTTGTTTGGTGTTTCAGGAATAACAGTCCCATGATCAGCAAAGAGAACCACAGAGCACTATACACCAACATGGCTGAAATACACATCAGCAATGCATCTGAGCCACAAGTGTCTATTTACATCAGTGGTGAGCAAAACCAAAGACAAATGTTAACTAAAAACACAATACAGTTCATAGGCCCCACAACAATCACATCGTTGTTGAGGCTTTAATGTAGATATTGTGTGGAAGAGCTTCTATTTCAGCTCTATGGTTAAAACAGGCCAATAGTGAAGTGTTGAAAATACCATTGAAATGTGTTCAGAAATCATTTCAGTGTTGTACCATTATATTAGGGGTTCAGAATGTATCTTGCTAGGTGACCTGTGATACAATATTTTGGAAAACACTAAGGTTGTTTCGGTTATCAGATAAGAAATTCTATTAATGAGAAAGCACATGTAGACAGACATTATTTAACTCAAACACACGTTAGTGAACAGGTCGACAGATACGGCCGGGTCCATGAGCCCTCACCTATCGCAGCCTCCTGGCCTCTCTTTCAGACTCCAGAAGTGTGAGCACATCTCCCTCTCTGACTGGGCCCTTCACGTTCCTGATGATGGAGCGGTTGCTGTCGTCCATGAACTCAACACGGACCTGCAGGTAACACACACATTACATTAAATACAGGAGTTTTGTGGGTAACGATCTGACACATGTCTATACATTGTTTTACCTTTCAGCCAAATGAAACATTCACAGCAGCATTTCTACAAGGTTTAGTAAGTTTAACATCAGATTTTGATACTGAGGTGGACTTTTAGAATTAAGTTCATGAAAACACAAACGTTTGTCATTTTGGTCAAAACTTCACAGCTTTGCACACTAATAACTCCCAATTATCTCATTGATCTATCAATGCACAACCCTAAATATTAAGCGAGTGAATGAATTAGAAAATACATTAACTTTAAGGTCCAAATATAAATTTGTCTGACTTCCAGATCAAAACCAAAAAAGATATACCAGCTGTTCTTTTGTTGGAACTGCATGAACACAGATGTAATATAAGTTCCATCATAGCTCACTGCTGTTAAGGGCTTTTTAACAGTGAACCTACAATATAGCATTTAGAAAACATTTAAACAGGTTTAAAGCAGAGTTACTGATGACCACGTGATACTGATGTTATTCTAGGAGCTGCTCAGTTGACTCAATAAAAAGAGAAGAGCATCAGAAACACTACGTTTCATTGATAAAACGTCGCCTTTGACGCGTTAGCATTAGCATACCTGTGTACATTGTCCCTGGGAACCAGTTCTCCCGAGCACCTTGGTGACCTGAGAACAGAACATACATGTTGTGAACACTGCAGCATTAGAGATGATCGTCTGAAGTAGTGAGCACGCAGCCCTGAGCTGTGAGCAGCAGCAGGACGGTGGAGCAGCACACTAGCATGGACAGGCCTCCATGATGGAGGCTCGAGAGCCGAGCTGCGGTGCGCTAATCTCAGCTTTAAACGTCACTTAGCTTCGATGTTTCGGCACCGAGTAATATATTAATACTTTATGTAGATGTCTATCCGTCTGCTTTTGTTCATTTACTCATTATTAATGGTTTTCTTACTCTGGCGAGCTTGATCGGCTGCACGCGGCTGGCGTCCATGTTGTCAGGTTAGACCGGAAAGGACGTCACGGGGTGCGGGGAGGGTCTATATCCAGAGTTAAATCTTTCAGTCTATTTAAGTTTAGTAAAAAAACAATTGTATTAGATGTAAGTTTAAGCCAACGCGTCTATAAAATTGCAAACCCTGTTAATTAAATTAATACATAAGCATTTTCTTAAATAAAAAAATATTTTTAACATTTGACTCCGTACTTCCGTTTCCGCTAGCTTGGGAAATACCATCGACAAAATCATCAATGGGTGGAATCCTGGGCCATACCATTATTTCCAGCCTCTCTTTTTTTCGGTCTTATATTATATTGTGAATTAGTAGATTAGTAGTTGTCTTTCCATTATTTGTTTTGCTTTTTTAAGTTTCATTAAGAATAACATTAAGTATATATATATATATATATATTCTTAATGTTTTCTACAATATACTTAAACTCTAAGAAAATACATTTGGCTTCATTGTATTAAAATCTGTGCATGTCTCCCATCACGCTTAGTTAACAATGGTCTTTTCTGTTTTCATTTTGTATCAGTCACATTTTTGCCAATCTTTATTTCCAAATTTCTTATGAATATTCTTTGAACTAGAATTTAACCTATACAGTAAAATGTAATGTTTCCTTATTTAGTATTATTTCATAAATAAGTTATCTTTGATTTGGCTTTACTTTATTTTGTATCAAACTATTCATGCCATTGCAATGCTGAAAGGCTTTTGTTAGAATATAGAGAAAAGAGTGAAACCAAATATAGAATTCTGTTGATTCCGTCTTTATTTGACTGTTCAGCACATGCACAGAAGGACTGTGTAGCTGCATGGGTCTAGCTTGTGTAATCTACCTGCATCATTAGTACGTCCTTCCTGTGAGAAATCTCCTCAGCCTTGTTAGCAATACAACACAGCCATCACACCACCCCTTCCGCCTTTCCTCCTCTCCGAACGCAAAGCTTTAAATCACAACGCTAATCCTCGTGAACAGTATTTTTAACTTGCGTTTGGACTGAAAGAACAGCAATAGGATTAGAGAATCAGTGAAGAGGCTGAATCCCTAACTCATGCAGTTGATCTTCTTGCATGCTGAGAGACAAGCACGAGAGTTTTGACTTTATCTTCATTTCAACCTGCAAGCAGCACGTTTTAAAGGACAAGTGTAAATGGAGATCTTGTGGAATGCTGTTGTTGTTGTTTTTCTCTGACTTGGTCTGAACACAGAACTTTTTTCTTGGTTTGTCTTCTGAGAAACAGAGACAATGGCGAATATAAAGCCTAAGTTGAAGGTGCTGAAAAAGCGCCGCTCGAGCCTTTTTGCGACCATAAAACGGGACATGAGTTTTTCTCAAAGCATTGAAGAACAGGACTGCGAGTTCCCTTTTTCGCAGGACAGCTCGGTGAAACCATGGACGTCTATGGACAACCTTGATGCTCCTGATGAGAAAAAACCACCAAAAAAAGAACCGAAAAAAGAGGCATCGAACCCAATGATATCAAACATCGTCAACCTTAACGTGGGTGGAAGGGTGTTTCACATCCCAAAACATTTGGTCCTCCGACACCCAAAAACCAGGATTGGTGTCCTTGCCCTCTGTGATGATCCAGTCAAACGCCTGACGCTGTGTGACGATTACAATGTTCAGAACAACGAGTTCTTTTTTGACAGAGATCCCATGTTTTTCCACTACATATTCCACTTTTACTGCAGTAATGTCCTGTGGGTGATGGATAGCCTTTGTCCTGTCAACTTTGAGGAAGAGATGTCATTCTGGGGCCTGAAACTGAAGGACACTCCAAGGTATGCTGCAGATCCATAATTGAGTACTCGCTATGTGCATTGTGTAGCTTTGTCTGTTACTGTTTCAGTGTTTCAAATGTGGTTTCTAAAAATGTTTCTTAAATCTGCACCTCCTCTGCTCAGGTGCTGCCGTATTTTGTTTGAGGAGAAGGTGGATGACATCAGAGACCAACTGAAGGTCAACAAGGAGCTTATTGATGAGATAAAACCTCACCAGGACGATGAAGGTTACAAGGCCATGTTTCTTGGAAACTTTCGGAAGGCCCTCTGGGACTTGATGGAGAATCCCTACTCCTCGCTTTCAGCCAAAGCATTTGCTGTGTTTTCCAGCCTCTTTGTGCTTATCTCCATTGTTGCCATGACAATGAACACAGTGAAAGAACTCAGGGAGTACAAGCTCGCCGGGAGAACCTACATGGAGTGGGTGGAGATTAGTTCAATCCTATTCTTCACATCTGAATACTTTTTGCGACTATTCACCACATCCGACATCAAACGTTTCGTGAAGAGCGCCCTCAATTTTGTCGACATTGTGGCTGTCATGCCCTACTTCTTACAGCTCATGTTCGAAACGTTTGTTATAGATGCAGAGGACATGAGTGCACAGGAAGATTTGAAGGCCATGGCAAGGGTCAGTAAAGTCAGCAAGGTGCTCAAGGTTGTCAAGCTGATGCGTATCTTCCGTATCTTGAAGCTCGCCCGTCACTCCACCGGCATGAGGGCCTTTGGTTTCACCATCCGCCAGTGCTCTGAGCAGGTATGGAGGAATAGCACACAGATACATACATACAAATACACACTGTGGATAATTAACTGAGGTGACACACAAAGCAATGATTTTGTAATATTGTAAGGATGAAGTCGCAACATTACAAGAAAATGTGTTGAAATTTCACTCGGTAAAGATTTAAAACTACAACAAATGCCCCAAAACACGACAAAAAGAATACATCTTTTGTTCCACATCTGCATGTGTTCTCTAAATAGATAAAGTTCAGCATGTTAACTTCAGAAGACGATGACAGGCTAAAGTTTAGTTTTTAACTTGTTTCCTCTGTAACCAAAAGTCAGTTAATGCAGGTTTGGTGTTTAAATTGACAACTTGGTTGCTCAGGAACCTTTAAAGATTTATGGAAACTTAAAAGTTAAAAAATAAAAGTATCTCGATGTTTCAATCATGTTAGAAGTTCATCTCATTTAACAGCATATTTATCAAATATATGATTTACATAATGTTAGATGCTTTTCTTTCTTTTTTTTAACCATAATCTCATCTGTTTTTATCCAGGTATGCTGTCTGTTTCTGTTCATTGCGATGGGCATCTTCACCTTCTCTGCTTTGATGCACTCTGTGGAGGTGGATCAGCCTGGGACACCATTCAGCAGCATACCGGACGCCTGGTGGTGGGCTGCGGTGAGAACGATAAACTTCACATGTTTGCCTCAATGCAAAATAACAGGATTGTGTTGGTATCATGGCTATGGTCAGACTATTGTCTTTTTTTTTTTTTTACAAAAACACATTTTTAATGAACTAACTGGATTCAAACATTTAAATAATCAAGGTTAGTTTTTTCACTTCTTAGATTTTCCCTTAACCTTGTAATGAATTAGGTAAAATGGGATTAAGCCATGGTTGATATAACACAGTCCAATCTAATTTGCACTTAACCACATATTCATATGATGCTGGGTAACACCTGAATTGCCTCTCATGTTTTTATTACTATGAATGGACCAAGAATTGGAGGATTCAACCAGCTCTTATGACTGCTACTTAGATTCTTCCGGATCAATTAACTAGGTTATGGACTTTGCTAAGCTGTTTCGCTTGACAGTGCTGAGGAGACTGAGCAGAGGCTCATGGGGGGGGGGGTGTCAGCATGATTAAGCAGTGCTTTTCAGGTGTCAAGGATTAGGCCTACTGGGATTTGCTGCTGTCTGCCTAGTCAGACCAAGAAAAGAGTGCACAGGACAGCACAGAGTCATGTCCTGTGCTATTTTTGTGGATCTACCAAGCCAGGCCTTGACGATAGAATTACATATAAAGACTCATTGTGTAATCTCCCTTTGTGAATGAATAGTTGGCTAAACTGAGTTTAATATAAGTCTCTCAAGCAGAACAAATAAGGCACAGCCTGTTTTATTTGAAAGATGGACACAGGATTTTTAGAATCTAACAGTAAATGCATCAAAAACTGTATGTTCATAGTCTTTACAGATGTGAAGAACCAAGCAGTGTTCAACTGAAAAGCTTCTGTCTCGCCCTTTGTCATGTTGTAAATCACTGATCTATCACCGTCATCCGATGGCAGATCTCTTACAACAGGGTCAACATGGAAAACAAATGTGTTATCTCCCACAAAGCTAATTATTTTAAGGGGTTTCATGCTGTATGCTCACATCCTCACCACAAAGGAAACTAGAAGGACACTCAGTGAAGCACAAACCTCCGCCAATGCCGAGCAGTCCTCTCATGCAACCACATTTAAATTCACTAGATTTTCTTTTGGATCTCCACCAGATTTCACACACTCATAGATATCAGTCCCCTAAATGTCTTTTTTCCATCAAAATAAATGTTTTATTCTCTGGGAAAGCAATGAAAATATTGAAAAAAGTGTCACAATGTTAAAAAAGGGCCTGGAACATTACAGCCTGTAATCAGAAAAATGGGTTTAGTATATTTTGTTATACCTACTTAATTAAGAATAAAAGAGATGCATTTTGACATTTCTTCTGATGGTTAGAATACATTACAATTTTACAAAATTTGATCATCTTGGCCTCAGTGCTGCTATACATCATCAGCCTCTCTCTGCTTCTTTTCACCCTCATTTGAGGACATTTGTTTTTTTATTTATCTGGTGGCAGCTGTCAACTGATATGTGTCTAATCCTCTATAATACGCAGTAATGTGTCTCATTCTCGACCAGACACTGATTGCATTCGAGAGATGGAAAGTGTTGCGGTACATTCCTGGGAATTAATTTAATCTTGCTCATTCTCAACTTGCAACCCGCCGAATGATCAATGAACAAAATATTTAGATAGCAGCAGCAGCAGAGTACAGATCACTCATTCAACATGGCTCATGTTACTCTTCTTCTTCCCGCAGGTGAGCATCTCCACTGTGGGCTACGGAGATGTCGTCCCCATCTCCTATCTCGGCCGCTGTGTGGCATTTGGCTGCATCTCGTTTGGCATCATCCTCAACGGCATGCCCATCTCCATTCTCTTCAACAAGTTCTCCGACTACTACGCCAAACTGAAGGAGCAGGAATACACGTTTTCAAACACGGAGCGCACCTTCCAGCTCAGGAAACGCCTGAGGCGCAAGTTTGACAGCTGCTATGAACCCCAGCCAGACAACTCAGAGGATGAGATACACTATCGGCCCTGCGGAAGGCAAGAGATCCATGAGAGCGAGGACTGAGAGGAGCTGCAGTGTTGCATACATGCTAGCCCTAAATGGCCTTATAACCCATGGGTCTAGAAAGTGTAAGAACCCATCTGCCTCCAACCCAGAGTGTGCGTGATTTAAGATAAACAGTCTAAGCGGAGTAAATGGAGGCAGCAGCATTAAAGTTGAGATAAGCTTTAAGCCTCGACTTTACGGTCAGTTGCTGTTTGCACGCCATGGGTGATGACTCTGTCAAATGAGACATGATGCTGCCACTGGACAGCTTGTTATATGTTTCCAAGAACAGGAAGTGGCTGGGACTAATTCTGACCCAACTGAAATAGATGTTTGACATAAGGAGGTCAAGCAGTAACATTATCAAGGAAGCAATGTTGTACTGATCACTTTTAAGGAGCGAGATGCTTGTGAAGAATTATTCAAAGTGCTAGGCTTGTATAAGATATTGGCCAGTAGCTGGTGAAACATCACGTTGGACTGTGAGTTACCATCTACCACTGTTTTTAAACTAAGGAAATACAAATGTACAAACAATGAAAATGTCTCCGATCTACATACACATGCAAAAAGTTCAATATCACCATTGCAAAGCTCCCATGTACAAAGTTTTATGTCAGACGAGTGTCATTCCTGTGTCATTTTGTTCTGTTCGGTCACTCGACTGTATCTCAGTGGGAGGAGGGATGCAGCTGTGGGCGTGTCAAGAGCATAAGTGTAATTTTGTTGTAAGGGATTACGAGGATTTGTCCTCGCGCCGCCTGCCTGGTCAGTCCGGAGCAGAAGTAGATAATGTCCAGGGCTATTTTCATCCAACGCACAAAGTGCTTACAGGACACTTTCATGAATGACGGCAGATCCATTTGTTTCAGATGTAAGCCTCTCAAGCAAGGAAATTAAGATAAGAGACGATGGGGCTTATAACTATCAATGAGCATGTGAGTGTGGCCCAATCCCTGCAGGAAGTGAGAAGTGAGCTCCATGGTGTTGGACTGTAGATGTCAGGATCAATCATGGTCTGGTCCTGAAGTCAAAACTGTCTCTGCACTGTGCTGCTGGCTGGGTTTAGCTCTATGGATAGCTCATTAAAGATGCGATATTTTACTCCTTTTTATTAAGCTTATATACAGTAGATCTGTGAGTTCCTCTACACGTGTCTTCGTCTCTTATTTACATTTAAAAAACAAAGTGTAGAACAAGGCCCCTTTAAACCGGTTCATGCTCTAGACCACAGTTCTTTAGAGACCAGACATATTTAAAGTGTTGATCAAAGACATTATTCCATCCATATGAAACATGATTAAAAGCAGTTATGTATGTTCAATGAATTTTTGTTCAAATTACCAGTACGTTACAAATGCTTCCTTGTTTTCCTCCATGACTAGACTTTGTCCATTCGTGACACATTTGTCCAATTTCTCTGAGTCACTGAGTGAAATTTTGTACATGCACAAATGTAAATGTATGAAGGTGATAAAAGCTGCCATGTGCAAACAAAAGGTGTCAAAAGAAAGACATTTTATGTGTATTTTATTTTATAGGCAATTCTCTCTTATTTATTTTGCAGAGTTGAAATCTGTGTATTACAGATACTATAAATAATACTGTAAAATGTGTCATTATTCTTTCTTTAGTGTGCATAAAAACACACACATACATCACAGGCTGGACATATTGAACACAGATGTTATTATGTATTGAAAAGTATACTTCTGAATTAAACCAAAATAAAATCTTCTCATTGCACTCATTGTGTCATTTCCTTTTAAAAGAGCCTCTGTGTGTGTATATTAACAGACACTTGTCTCATTTGTCTGATGGAGGACGCTGCCTGTCTTATAGTGTTACAGGATAAGGTAATGGGACAGATGCCAGTGGTTGAATTGTATTGTCAGCGTCAATTAAAACTCAACAGTACTGAGAAGTTCTGTCTGTCTCATGTGACTCAGGCAGGACTGAGTGGACAGGAATAAATGCACTTAAGAAACCTCAGGGAAAGATCACACACACACACACACACACACACACACACACACACACACACACACACACACACATAGGAAACAGATGAAGCTCAACAATTTCACCAAAACTATTGCATTTAAAATTCTTATATTTGATTCCTAATCTTTCACTTTCTGCACTATTAACTAAAAAGATTTGAGAGCAAGACACTCCTAATGTTGTAGTATTTTTGTGTTCAGAGGAAGTTTTTGTTCTTCGACTGAGGAGAAAGTCGAAAAGCCAAATTCATGTCTGTGTAAAAAGGCTGAGCCGTTATGGCAGGACAGATGCTGTAATCTTACACATCCAGCCTGTTTCCTGAATGCCGGCATGCAGCCGAAAAATCCAACACGGGGCCGACAATATGCCAGTTGGTTTAGTTCAGTGTAAACAAGCAAGGGCGGCACAACAAGACATCTTCTTCACGGCAATACAGCAGGGTCTCTGTATGAAAGAGCCTTAAATCCCTGTAGTGCTGAGAGAAACTGTAAAGTGATAACACTCTGTGGTTCATGATTTCAACAGGCCTCGTCCACATTACAGCCATTTGATCCATTGTTTATACACAAATACTGACAAGTCCCGCTTTAACCTTTATCATCTTTAACAGAATGGTCCTGAATGCATACCTGCACCAAGGCGCAACAGTCCCCTCATGAAACCACCTTTGAATTCACTTGATTTTTTTTGAATCTGCACTAAATAATTAGTCTCAAGAGATCAAGAAAAATGTTGAAAATTGCCCACAATGTTAAAGAAGGTGCTTCCTGATCCTGAGTTCTTCCCTGACCCGTACGGTATTCATCCATTAAGTTTCATGGTAATCTGTCCTTGTAACTAACTAACAAACAAACCAACAAATGGACAGGGGTGAAAACATAACCTCTTGTCTGGGGGTAAATTCACAAATAAGTCAGAGTACATGGGAACAGTCACTTTGTATTGTTCCAGAGAGCCATGGAGGATTTAGCATCTATAAATGTGTTGTCCTTGAAGTGCAAAACAAAAAATAACATTTCAGTTAAAAAAAAGGTCAAGATTACGTTTCTGAAAACAAATAAACAAATCAGAAATCAATGGGTTTCCAATTTATATTCATAGTAATTATTTTCCTGGAGTCAGACGAGTCATTAGTGTAGTTAATACAACATCTGTAAATAATATGCAGATGCACTAACTTGATTATTATGCAAATAACGAACAGCATTGATATTAACCCCCTAAATAAAATAAATAAATAACAAGAGAAGCGAGGGAGACTTTTTCACCTCGACATCCTGCTGCCAGCACACAGCAGCTGAGAGCAACAAACCAAACACTACTCAGCAGTGATATCGTCAGTAGAGGTTAAAAAGCCATGCATCGCCAGAGGAACATTTAGGACATGAAAGGGCCACCGTTTATGTTTTTCGTGTGTGTTGGGAAAATGTTCGTGTTTGGCGTGGAGTGAGCATGTGTGTGTGAAGAGTTGCATCAATATCCTTGACGTCTTCTTGCCAGACGCACTCTGTTCTGTTCGCTCCCATCCCTCAAGATGTGTCGAGATAAGGTGCAAGAGCCACTCACATTCAAGGAAAAGAGTTCACCGTAATAAGATGATTTATGACTCACGTAGATTCTGATATATGAAATAAACAAACAACCAAATCTGCATTTAGCATCTAAAGTGCTTGAAATCCTTCTTGGTTTTTCTGCTCAAACTCAAACCTCTGTTGGGTTCCAGATGTTCTTTTGAGGCTCTTATGAGTATTTCTTTGCCTCTAATGTTTTTAAACAAGCGTTAGTGACTGTAAGACCAGATTTTTACGAGGGTTTCATCCTTGAGGGGACTTCTCATCAGTCATGCTGAGCTCTGGATCAGGACATGCTTTTCCCTCGTCAAGGCCGAATACATGTCTCGGGGAACCTGCGGCCTCTGCATTTTTAAAATTGCCACGATGGGCACTGCTCATTCACTATATAAACCCCCTCGAGTTCACCTCATAAGTCACAGATCCTGTTCTCACACCACAGCTCAGCTCTCACCGGACCGTCCACAGTTCCTGACCGACTCGAGGAGCAGTGACTCGTCGTGCAATGGCTGCTGCAAAGTTTTTGTCTCTGCTGGTTGTGCTCGTGGCTGCAGTGTGTGCCGTCCACGCACAGGAGAGGATAAAGATGTGCGGGAGGGAGCTGATACGTTTGGCCGTCTCCGCCTGTGGTAACTCGCGTCTGAGGAGAGACATCCCCGACGTAGAGCTGGACCAACGTCAGCCCATCACTACTCACTGTGAGTACTTTAGGTTACATTTCTCTACTTTGTTGTGGCCTCTGCATTTGAAGGATTAAGCTCACTCCAACTTGAAGATTGAAGACTATTGTAGGACACACAAACTTATTAAAATACAAAATACTTTATAGTAACAGAAGTGGAACATATTAAATTAATTAAAAGTTGACCTGTGTGCGTGCTCAGCTCAATGACAACCTTTTTAGGAATCCCCTTGGAAACATGATGATACATCTCAAGGTTTTAATCCAATGACAATAAGTTTCTGACTAATCTTTTCATTTGTCCTTGGAGTTTCACATAAAGTTTTCCAAATAAAAATGAGAAAATCCTCTGTTTCTCTCTGCTCACCACATATCTCTGCTTCTCATCTGCACAGGGAACCATGATGTGGACGCAGAGGGCGTCCACATCCCTCCAGAGTCTGATGAGAAGAGAGACGTCCCCTCCCTGGCCCCTCACTGGTTTACCCTGTCCTCTAGGATCAGACGAGTTGCTGGACGAATATCGGACATTTGCTGTGAGAAAGGATGCAGCATGAAAGAGCTGATACAGTTCTGCTAGATTTGGTTTCCGACTTATCACACGACAAAATAGTATGATTAACTGATGTGGCCTGTGCTGCAAGTTTGTTTTTGTAATTTATTCTCTCTTTATCACTGTAGAAAAAATATGTGTTGCTCTCAGACTAGACTGCAATAAAGCTTTTAATGATTATTAATGAAATTTTATCTGCTGTGATTTCTCTGCGTTTTATGTTTTTCATCAGCGTTTGTCTGTTAGTTAGCAGCGTGGATGGATTACTGCGATACTCAGTGTGAAGAAGAACCCAGTTCATCCTGTTGCAATAGGTCACAATATTGCAATCCAATACATTCATGATAACGATCAATATTCCTGTTACTGAATGTCAACATTGATAAGTCGTCAGTGCTTACTGTGTGAATTTGTACATAATCCAATGAACTTTACAGTTTAGTGATAGGTTACATCGGTCACCTCTGGGGCCTCTAGTCCACACACACCAGGCAACACAATCACACACCAATCAACACTTGTCAATCCTGCACTAAAAGTCTAAAAATCAACACTTATTAACACTGTGTTGTTATTTCATTGTCAATTTGTATAATTAAAGCTGCAGAGAAATTAACCTTGAAACAGCAAATGGCCTAATCAAACTAAATCACATCAACAGGAACACATGGAAACACAGACACAGACACACACAGACACAGACACAGACACACACACACACACACACACACACACACACA